TAGAAAATTTTCCATTAATGATACTGAGGTTACTTCCAAGTATTACAACCCATCCTGGAGCAGACATTCATGTACTGTCTCTTTGTCCTTTGGCAAGGAGAGCTGCAAGTTAAATTTCTTGCCATGCCGAACTGGGGCAAATGCGGAGTCCATGTAACATTTCAACACATGTTGTGAAATTGTCCTGTAGGATGTTCTGCTACAAGTCCTGTGGAAGAGAGAAGTCAGGAATGAATCTTACATATATGTAGAAATTCGGAATAACATAAAGAGGGCGTGTGACAAGACTGAGGAAAATAGTGATTATTCAATTGGTGGTGTCATATCCCTGGGCTGGGGGAGGGCTTTTGTAAACCCAGCTAAATCTAGAAATCGACAAGGAAAACAATGATAAATTTGAACATGTATGTAGAATATATAATTTTATAATTAAAAAATTATAAAGGCAACAAACTGGAAAAATGTTATATATGACAAAGGACTGATTTCTTTACTATCCAAAGGGATATTTGAAATCACTGAGGAAAAAGTCAAGCAAAACAGCTCAAAGGAGGATTTGCAAATAGTAACTGTTTTCCTTTTTTGAGTTTTTACAATGTGCCAGGTGCTGAACTAACTACTTAAATGCAAATTCTTAATTCTAACAGAATCTATGATATAGGTGGTGTTACTATTCCCATTTTGTAGAGAGGAATTATGGTTCAGATTCATTAAATCAATTTCTGGAAGTTAATTGGCTTAGTAGAGATAGATCCTGGACTTAAACCCAGCTCAATATGTTTATAAATTGATTTTCTTAAGCACTTTCCTGAATAGTAGCCCCCAGGCAAAAATAAATAATCTGGAAATCTCTGAGAAACAAAATGACCAACAGACATATTAAAAGGTGTTCAAATTTGCTTATAAAGAAGTGAGAAATACATATATATAAAATATTGTGCCTCTTAATGGGCAAATATTTCATAAGTCTTAACAAGAGGATGACATAACTGTAGTTCTCCTACACTATTGAAGGAATTGTGATTATTTACATAAGTCAGACAATCTCTCTCAGCCTTAATTTGCTCATCTATAAATTGGGGATAATATTTGGCAGAATTATTGAGAACATTACATTCTATATATATGAAAAAATGTTAGCCCAATGTCTGGCACATATTAAATGCATGATAGCTCTTATATGCTACTACCTCTAAAATCCGCCAACATCTCCCCAACCCCCCACTCACACAAGACAACATCTTTTACATCTTTGTATTCCTAGCACAAGGAAAGGGGTCAATAGAGACATCTGTATGTGAAGATGAAGACCACTCTAGGTACCCGTGAACCCTTGGTAGGGTGTTAGATTTCTAGGACTACACAAGAACCTCCACAGTATATCCAATTCCACAGCCCATGTTCTAGATCTCCATTTCCATGCAAGTCAAAGCAGGCAATAGACACAACAAAAGGAGCCAGGAGCTCCGTGAAAATAATATATGGTAAAATCACCTAAGTTTTCTACGATTGGTGGTGTGATGGTATAGCCAAATACACCCCTACCCATTCAGGGCACTGTTAGCTTTCTGAAGTAAACAAGTCTGGAAATTCTAAATATAACTAAATAGCACTAAAGGACTGTAATAATATCCTCCCTTTTCTAAATATTTACTAGCAACCATGTATTCCTTGAGAAAGACATATTGGCCTGGAAGTGATCTAACCAACACCTAGTTTTGAAGATGGCCACGTACAGAGCTGTCGTGGCAACATTTGTAATCACTTTTTAGAGCTAAAAGTCTTCTCTTAGGATCTGTTGGTTCCAGGAGGGCAAAGTCACCAATGTTCTGACAAATTGAATGGCAGTTGTTCTGTGTTTGTCCTCTCACGCAGGCTTTCCCAGTACCTAATCAATTTGGCAGGCTTTTATCTCCAGGTTTTTAAAGAAACTTTTCCAGTAGAGTTTTCCTTTCCTTTTTTATGTATATCACTATAACCGTAAGATAAACGTGACGAGATGACTTTGGCAGTTGTTGGACGTCAGAGGAAATGACATCTGTGTGGTTTGTCTACAGCACATTCAACTGGAGCGTCCCCTTCCTTTCCTCGTTGGCCTGTTTGATTCTGGCAGCCACCACCGTCACTCTGTATTTTGTTCCGCTGCGGTACATCATTTTAATCTGGGGTAAGTTTGGCAGGGTCCTTTTGCTAGCCCTCAATTCCAGGTAAGAACCAATTACTCATTTTTAAAGTGCAACTATTAACTTTAAATGTGCTCTTGTTGGCAATTAAACATGAGATTAAGGAAAAGCATTTTGGGAACAAGAACTTTCAGGACCTCCCTGGAAAGGCCAGTTACGTGAATGATCAGCACAGATATTTATAGGCCTCTTGCATAATTGCAATAAAAATAAAAACGTGATTGTGCATGACCTTTCCCTTTGGGCTTTCCTAGTCATAAATCCCCTTGAATAATGTATTGCTGTGGCCCACTAACTTTATGGAAACCCTGTTCAAACAGTGAGCAAACACCTGCATCTTGCCCTTTATATTATGTAAAAGTAGATCTGGCCACTGCCAGGTTGCTCCTGACACTTCATCTCTCTTGGAGGAAAAAAAAATTAACCTAACCCCATTCTTAAATCCAGAAGCAGTGAGGGGAAAGGGAGGGGGTATTCTGTAACTACCTAACCAGTGCCTGAAAGAAGAGGAAGTTGTTATTTATCAAGGGAACTGAGGTACTTATATAAAGTTTAGCTGCTTAAAAATAGAAACAAAACTGGCAAACTGGAAATAAATTTCATGATTTGATTTAATACTCAAGTTAGCAATTGGACAAAAATACAAGCTGCTTTGTGAATATAGGTGTCTTGCTGGGTGGGCTCTGGGTTGATATAAGGAGTATGAATTGCAGTAACTGAATTATGTGAGAAGCAGTCAGCCCTTATCCATAAGAGTCTGTCAGTCCTGGTTTTCCATTACTTAGCTGCAGTGACTGCTGCTGAGATCTCAACCATCATCACTTCTAGGGATGTTAGGGAAAGTCACAAAGATAAGAAACTATGTTGAGATGCATTCATCTTTAAGCAAAAGCTAACAGCCTACAAATGCCAGATAAAAGTTATAGCCTTTCTAAGACAATTAAATATAGACCCTTTCACTGAGAACCCACAAAGGTAGAAAGCGGCTGACAAGGAAAGCCAAACATGGACATTCAGAAGGGAAAAGTCATGGGAAAATAGAATAACTCATAAAATTACAGAAGTAGAATGATTTTTGAGGGAGTACAGTCCAATGAGTTTCTATTCTAACGTGCTCTTTAGGGGTGTGTTTTAATACTTGATGATTCTCATCCTTGGGGAGTCTTATATCCCTGCTTAGTTTTTGCTTTTTTGTTTGTTTAGTTTGCAACAATTTTAGGACATTGGTCCTTAGGAAAGAGCATGGAGTTATTCAGGGCACCCTGGTTAAGAAGGCATGTTTTGCAAAAGTATTTTCCTGAATACTTTATATACTAAATGTTTTCTGTATAGACCAGATAATCTTATTTTTTCGTAAGTATTGGTTTCTAAATGCTATGGTCAGCTGTTAAACACTTTTTCTCCTTGATTTCTTCATGGTTCTGGGGCTTGCTTGATTTCTTTCTATGCAGCTTTCCTTCCACAAAGAAGACTAATTCTGTGTTTCCTCCTTTGATCATTAATTTTGGTATTCCAACCCCTCTTTCTATGTACCCAAATCACTTTGACTTCTGATCTTATCCTCCAAGTTTTTGGCAGGTTTCCAACAACAACTTTTTGCATCTACTTAATGAAACATTGCTCTATTTATTATTCACTTTATGGATAAAATTATTAATTGTCATGGAGTTTATTATGCTCTCCAGTAACCCTTTGAGCTCTACACTCTGTGTCTGGTTCTTTGGTTTTATGTTTTAGCCAGGAGTTCATAGTTTGTTGAGATTACCATGGATAATGTAATCAAAAGCCTTCACAATCAACATGTGATCTATGACTTCCTCTTGTCCTGTAAGAACTGCCATGCAATCTTGGTATATTTTCTGCAATTCTATTAGGAATTATTTTTTTCTAAGACAAGTTAGTTATTGCCTAGCATGGGCCCAGGACAATTCTTTTGGCCATCTCTTATATGATTATATCCCCTGCAGAGATTTTCTCATGTAGTAGATGAATTTGTATGTCTTAAACTTCTAGTGTTCCTTTTAACTTTAAGGAGCAGAAGACTTTCCTTATTCTGTGTTACTTATTCATTTTCATTGAGTCTTAAAAATGAGATCTTAACTATGTGTACTAGATTTCCATATTCTGTATACCCAAACAATATTTTCGTGTAAGTGTTTAATTATCAAAATTATTTGACATAAGCACATGAAAACAGCTTAATTTCATAATGGCCATGGGAAACATTCCTGGACCCACCAAAATCATTGTAAAGTTTTGACAGGTGAGATACTTTTGTTTTCCTCTCTTGCTCTATAATTCCTAGTGCAGCTACATATAGATAGTAGATCTTTAATGAGTACTTAAAAATATTTTATGAGTAAATGAGTTTGTAAGCTTAATGCCTGTGTTCTATATAGATGACATTTTCTTGGCCCAACACCTTTCTTGGGTGGAAGTGTGACTTTTGAAAATTAAGTGAGAAGTAGATTTTAAGAAGGCTATCTGAAATTTTCTTTAGGAAACATTATCTGAATTTCAGTCACTTATTTGATGTATGTATTTCTAGAAGGCAGAGCATTTCTTAGGATTAGATCCCACGTGGGTCTTCTGTTCATTTTGAAAGATTTCCTATATTTCTTCTGTTCTTTATCATAGATGCTCTAATTATAATTTTTCAGTTCTGGTCCAAGCCCCTTCTGTTTTTTAAATGTAGATATGAATTCCCCAAGCTAAATTCTGAGCTTTCTGCAAGAAGAAACCATGACTTATTTATTTCTGTATCTTCATTTGATAGCACAGTATCTTATACATGGAAGATGATTGGGGTTTGATAAATGAACAAGGAAGGAACCTCCACCCCCCCTGGCCCACGTATTACACTTGGAGCTATATGCAAGCCACTCATATGATATCTGAAAAATAATGCTGTAATTCTGTTTCAAGTGGGCATTCTCAAGTGACAAAAATACAAAGCAGCCATGTAGTTTTTTATCTCTTCTTTCTCCAAGTGATGTTTTTCTTGTTTTTGTTTCTTTTACTGGAGAGCTTATTCCACCCCATTGATCAATTCAATCTGTGTTATAGGATCATTAAGTAATAGTGTCTTTTTCAAATGTTACCCTTTACTACTTAGATTTCATTTGCTTTTTTTTTTTTTTTTTTGGATAAAAATATTTAAAGCAAATATACCCTCTATCTGTATCATTTAGGTTAAAATCTAAAGGTATGGTTAGCAGGCTACTGGGTGAAGTCACAATTTCCAAATTTGGATGGGTGATCACATGCCTGATAGTGTAAAGACTCTATTCCTTCACCACCTTTTTTGTCTTCTTAGCTTATTGGTATCTACAGCAACGATGATAGCCCTCTATATTGTTGTAGAATTTCAGGTTACACAAACCTTTTGCCTCTACCGTCCAATGTCATTCTCCCATCAACCCAGGAAACCCTATAGGGAAGGTCTTTATAATTCAAATTTTAATATAAGAAATCTTGAGGTACAGGAAGGTTAAGTGAGTTGCCTAAAATCACCCAGGTAATGATGAAGCCGGAACGGGGGCCCAGGTATTTCTTCATCATAACCCTTGTTTTCTTGCCCCTCAAGGATGACCAAGAAGTCTACGATTTCCTGTTGACACTTTCTCACACAATAGATAATATGGCGGAATTACTGAAACATTTGAGCCAGAGACACCTTAATAAATGAGGTGTGCTTTTGAAACATTCCATCTGAGAGCCTTACATTTTTATTCTATTTTTTTTCCATCATAGACAGTCTCAGTGCATTGTGGACTACTTTTGCCCTTATTGGTGCATTCGAGCTACTGTGCAGGTTTATAATCTTCTCAGTCACTAAGAATGCAGTGTTTTGATCGGCTGTGATATTATCCCTGCCTTGCTGTTCATTGTAAAGGCTCCAGATGCGCACACTATATATAATTAACAATAGAAGATATATCTTTTCTCAATACGTCTTTGTCTCCCTTCATCATTTTGCCTTGTCTGTTTTCTTTTGCCAAAAAGCCCATGCTACAATTAAATGTCTTTAGAATAACACAGTGAGAGTATTTTAGTGTAAAGGAACGCGTGGGGGAATTTTAGCTAGAAACATGAAGCTTGCTGTGGGGGTAGAGGGAAGAAAGGCAGAGTGCAGCTTTGACTTGAGGGAAAGGCGATCATTTGCTAGGAACCTTCCCCAGCCCGACCACCAAGCCATCATTTACTCCTGAACAATGGCTGGCTCCCATTTGCAAAGCAGATGTAAATCTGACCCTCCAAAGAAATAACTGGAGGTTGGCATTGTGTCAGGTATAATGCCATGCAGGAAGCCTAGTCCTCAGATGAAAGCAAAGTAATATTTAATGAACAACAAAAAAAACATCAAACCTTTTGTGTGTTGGGGACTACTGAACAGTTAAATGTTACCTTGGCTTCTGAGTAAGAGCCATTCAGAGTACAACGAAGCTAAGAATTCATCCGGCGTCATTGGGGATGACAGCCCTTCAGATATGATCCTTGTTAAACAAGCACCCTGTGGCAAAACTTCAGAAGGCCACCTAGTCTTTCTGCTTCTAAAACTCAACATGAAAAAAGGGATGACATTTGGTGAAAAGACTACACAGCTTATGAGCTCTGGATACAAGCAAAGCAGCTCCAAGGAACAGAGCAGAAGACAAAATGTGGTTGAAAGGAGCTCCCCCCGTAAAGGGGCAGCCGTGAGCAAAACGTGTTCTGGATGTGCCCAGGGCCCCAAAGTGCAGCCACCAAAGAAGGATGTTCTACAGTATATTGACATCTTAAATGCTGAGCCGTCTTCTAATTAGCATTGTCCTTGTCCTAAATTAGCATGTACTCCCTTGCCCAGACAATCCCACGCACCAGTGTTGCGGTCCATAAATTAAGTTAGCAACCATAGTAAGATAATTTTCCAATAATAACTTTTCACAGTTTCCTGCAGCATCCAAGTACAATCAACATGTCAAGTTCTGTTCTGCTGTGAGGGAAAAGAAACCTGTGAAAATGAGTTGGAGGTGGGGGGGAGATAGATGGCTGCGGTTTCTTCATAACAACAAAAAACAACTCCCGCCTTCCATCTCCCACTGCTACGTTTGGTCCAGAGCCTCCAAGCAGGGACTTGTTTGGGCTAATGAAGGCCTTTTCCCATCTGGGACATTTGTTTTCATAGCAGAGGAGACTGTTAATCAGCGTATTCCAAAAAAAGCCAATGAACTCCCCAGTTTGAGCGTGTGTTTCTGTCGCCCTGCTGCTGGGACTGTAATGGGATTTTCACAGCTGAGGAAGGCAGAGCCCTTCTTCAACGGCAGCCCCCTCCTGCCTTCAGGAAAAGGCATTTGTGAATGATTCCACATGACAGCAACATGGGCATGACTTGAGGTCTAGTAATTGTTTTCACACTAATTTTTACTTGTGAATACCCCTCCTTCCCCCCCCCCCCCAATCAGGCAAGTTTTTAAAGATAGATCTCTGGTGTTTCTATTTTTCAGGAATAAATAAATTTACTAAGAAGCTCCGAAATCCCTATTCTATCGACAATAATGAGCTACTAGACTTCCTCTCCAGGGTACCATCTGATGTTCAAAAGGTATGTAATGAATGGTCACCACCAACAGGGGCCCCAACCCGAAGTCTGGCCAGCCCCAGAGCCAGAGGAGCACAAGGCTTTGCTTGTGTGAGTAATTGAGATAAGGAACTTGAAAATCCTTAAAGAGGCCTTGCTTGTGGGGAGGTGGCCGGAAAACCTTTGTCCAAAACAAGAGGTGATTGGGGAAAATTATTCTGAAAAAGAGCTACTTAAGAATGATCTGAGACTCATACTGCGTGGCTACCATGCACTGGTGGCGTCCCCTTTCTGATTGCTTGCCTCCCTAAAGAGGATAAGATGGGCTCAGTGAGCAGAACCCCGTGGCATCCAAAGCTGGGCGTGTTGCTTATTTTCTTTCTCTTCTATCTGGATGGCAGGCATTCGAGGGGAAGTAGGAGACGAGGATTATTCTTTTTATTCTCGTTTGCCCTGATTATCTCCTAGGCCTCCCTCTAAAGACTTAGAGATGTAGAGGGCAAAGCCCCCACTTACTCTAATACACGTAGAGGCAGAGATGGCATGAAATAATTTGAGATCAATCAAAAGTATTATTCACAGGTAGTGGTCACATAGTCCCATTTCTGTAGATACACAGAGATTAACGAAAGCAACAATACCAGAAAGTCTTGTAGAGTAGCTTGATCCGGACCCCCGCAGATCAGCCTGCTCTAAATCCAGAGGAAGGAGGGCAGGCAACGATTTCTCTAATGGAGAAAAGAAATCACTGAATAGGTAGATGGGGGAGACCAAAGACACAATCTTTTATTATTTGAGAGAATCCCAAATCAAGTATCGATTTTTATCTGTGGGCCACCGTAACATAATTGGTTCCCTGGCAGCTCCTGGTGGATCACAGAGACATGGGGCTGAAACGCCTTAAGAGTTTCTTTCCCCTGCCTTCTTGGTTCAACAGATTAAAATTGATGCTATTTTTTTCTTTAACCTTCATTTTATGATATAATTAGCTGTGAAAATATGTTCTATAAAGATGAATTTACTCTGTAACATTTGCATTGCATAATTAAAAAATAATAACCTGACCCATGTGTGTTTTGCATTGAAGATTGACAGGTATAGCATCCTCTGCTCCTCCTAGGGCACCATCACAAAATCCTAGAAAGAAAGGGTGTTTTGTTGTGTTTCCATTTACCTGCTTTTGACAAAGTATAGCCTAACTTATGTGATTGGGCATCATGCCCTTGGGAGGTTTGGCACAAATGCTAGAAACAGGGAACACATGTGGTCTGTAATACAATATTTTCAATAAAGCCATTCCACCAGCAGCCTATCAAAGCCCACACACCAAAGCAGTATGTTTCTTTGCAATGTACCATCACTTGGGTCACAATGTGAATAAGAATAGAAATTTCCATCAAGGCCCCTAAGGATTATCTGTGCATAGTCCAAGCCCCCAGCCCTCAGAGTGGTCATTCGGTTGGAGTTGGCATGAACACCAAGAGAGACAACAAAAGAGCATTCAAGGAAGATATACAGAATGCTAGTAAGATCCTCTGTGTATCAACGAGGGCACTTTCTAATAACACAGTGACAGTTTGCCACTGGGGACTCTCAAGTACTCACATTTGTCACAGCTGTTTTAACCATTACATTGCAAATAAAATGAATTTTTAAGAGAAATCTCTATAAGTCTGGGGCCCAGGATCAATTTCAGCATGCTTTCCTTCTCAGGCAAAATAAGTGTATATAATTTGCTGAGATGTTTTCCCGAAGATTTTAGATATTTTTAAATGAATAATTCTCAGTAAGTTGCTGTATCATATACTAAGATAAACATTCCCAAGAGGCAGTTATTAAGCTTACTTGTGGTTGAAAGCTGGCACACACAAAACGAAGATCATCTAGCAGTGCCCAGAGCAGGTAGAAACCCATGCATCTCATTAGAAAAATCTGCTTTTAATATTTTGGTTTCAAGAAATGATGCATGACTTCTCAAATCCTTCCTGCAATTAATCCCTCCATGTTCCTGTGTTTAGAAAATGATTCATTACCTTTGAACCTTCCTTCCTTTGCCTTGGTTTGTCCTTGGGGAGCCATTAGCACACACTGTGGTGAGCTAGGGTTACCTAACCGCCAGCATCACGTCTGTTTGTTTTCACAGGTGCAGTACGCGGAATTGAAACTCTGCAGCAGCCACAGCCCCCTGCGGAAGAAGCGCAGCGCTCCCTAAAGCACACGCCAACTTTGGATGCCATCACTCGATATGGTGTTTGGTTGATTAGACCAATGTCGTGGCTGTCTCAGTGGTACCCGCAGCGTCCTTCTGAAATGCGGGCGGCCTGGCGCCCTTTCTTCTCCCGCCCCCGTCTTCACACGCACAGGTGCACACGTGCATGTGCGCACATCCCCATGCATGGTGTGTCCTACTTGCATAGAGGGCCAGCCCAGCAAAAGGAAACAATCCCGAGACTGTGAAAGACTAACATCCATTCTGAAACAGGAGGTAAAGCAAGGCTGCCACGGGTCTGAACACCCTCCTTGAGAGCAGCCAGGAGACCACTTGGATTTGAGAGTGACTTCGAACTTGTGTTCACACCTCCAGCAGATTCTCATTAAGATTCATTTATTTCCACTCCCAATCCCCACACTCCTTTCAGATGATTATTCGTGCAAGTTTCTTCTGAGTTAACACGTCTTTGATAACTATCATCTGTCTAAATATATATTAGACATATACATAATATGTATGACATATATAATATACATATGTTATATATGTATGTTATAAAAAGATTTTTTAATAATTACCAGAATTATCTCAGATCTTTAGGGGTGTTTCAGCTGTGATTATTAAGGATGTGTCTGTACATTTTTGATCAGGCCCTCAGTGCTGGATGCCAGCTTGTGTCATGGTCCATTGCTGGCAATGGATGCCTAGGGAGGTCCCCAGGGATCACTTCCTCGAAGAGTGAGTGTTTCCTGAAAGTATTTGGTTGCCTTAAAAATAAAATACCCTTTCCTCTGATGTCACTTTTTGCTTATTTCCAAAACATAATGTCAATGTGTAGTTTCAGAAAGGTAAAGAAGAGGATGAATGCATGAATTCTGTAAGTATTTAGAAAGCTGAAGAGCTAAAGACCACGGGAGTAATATATGAGGCTGCTTACCCAATTATCACAATCATTTCATTTGCCTGAACGTTTTGAGTAGAAAGTAAAAATTCTTTGGCTGTCGAAATTTATCTTTTGTTCCTCTTAGGAGGAAAATAAGCTACACACAAACAAAATTAATTTCATAACCCCATTCCTAGAAAAGTACCACCCCAAAGTCCTCCTTTGACAGCACGTCTCCTGCAGACCCCACCATTCCACAGAATTCTGCTGCCAAGTAAAAACCTTGATTTTGTGCAGATACAAAATATGTACGAATCTCTCTCTGTTCTAATGATATTTAAGTTTTAAAGACTGTATCTTGTTGACATATACTTTGTGCAGTTTTTTTTTATATATATGTGTGTATTGTAAAGGAAAGCTAAGGTAAAAAGATCTGATTTAATAGTGAGTTTACTATTTTTTTTGTCTCTGGGTTGTAATTTAATAATCTTCAAACAAAATGTTTATGAAAAATGCCAAAGATTCTAAACCTTATCATCCTGTGTCTGTTTTTCTTCATGTTGTATCTCACTGGGTTGCTTTCTGGCTGAGCCAGATTTCTGCATGATTTGATTTACTTCAAGTTAATGAAGCTGACTGGAAAAGAGCCTTGTAGAAATTATAAAAGCTCCAGTAAATCTCTTAGTTGTACATACAATAGATACCCAAGAACCTCTTTTGTTAAACCAGTTACTCAATCTTCTGTGTAAACAATGCCTCATTGTCTTGCTCCTAACTATCATCTAGTTTATCATAGTCTGTCATTTTGTAACGACCTAAGTCAGACAATTTTAAACAGACATGTGAGATCTGATCAGTCATTTGAATGAAAACTTTCAGCAGCAAAATAACCCCTTATTTATTTAAAAGTGGAACCAATACTTTATTGTTGTTCTTTTGCTATAGAATTTCAAAATGAAATAATTTGCCTGACAAGGAGGCATCATTACACAGATTTATTTCCTCTGTAGCCGACGGAAATTCTCAGCATTAAGTTTAGGACCCAAACACCAGTGTAAGAACAGGACCAGATCAACCTTTAATAAACTTCATATAGAAAACAATTGTTAATTGATTAAGTAGACATTGGATGTTAAAAATGAATGTTAGTTGTAAGTGACATGTTAAGATTTATACAAGTAATCAAACAACTTTTAGGAAAGATTCCAGAATGCTTTGGATAAAATTTATGGATTATGGACTCACAGTATGATAATTAAAGATAATTAAGTAGGCATGTTAAAGTCTTGCCAAGTTTTCCTGGCTCTCTTTTCGAACCGCATATGCCCAGTTCTAGCCCTGCCTGGATTTCTTACAGGCGTCTACACCTCAGCAGATCGGAAACTAAACATCAGTTTTCTCTCCCTGTCTTCAGAACCCCGATCGCCATAAACTCCTACCTTTCTTATTTCCCTTATTGACATTGTCATCTTCTGGCCTGGGAACCTCTTGGACATCCTCTTTTTTGTTCCTCATGCCTTTGTCTTTATCTCCCAACCATAAAATCTAGTGCATCCAGTGTTGACGTGTAATCCACTTCTGTTCAGATTGCCACCACCCAAGTTGAGACCTTCATAACTTCTCAAAAGTCATGGCCATGGTGCCAGTTGCATTATGCCAAGTTAATCCTCATTCAGACTGTTCTTTTCACGGAATAAACTTTCCCCAGTTTCTGCATGAATAGATTCCGCTGTCTTTCAGAACTTTCAAGTCTCCTGCCCCAAAGAGGCTTTCTTGGTCCTTTGGCTGGATTTGGTTCCACCTTTTTTTGCAGCCTCACATCTTACATATCATTCTGGCATCTGCCATAGGTCATAAGAGGCCTTAGTCACTGTCCTCCCCAGATATCCCTCCTAGCTGGCACCTAATAGATACTCAGGAAATCATGTTTAACATACCACCAGGTCATAGATGATTTTTCTCTCTCTGCCCTTTCATATACTGCTGTAAGAACAGAGGCCTGAGCTGGATAGACTGGTGTGGTCTATCCTGGAGAATAATTTCTTGCATTAAAAGCTTATTTGTGTGATATTATTTATAGTCCCTGGCTATGTAAATTAAGCAATGTCTGGTATTTGGAGAAGTTCATACCTATATGTCAAAGGAAAATATAAAGGTTTTTCTTCTTTGGGGTGATAAAAAAATCTTTTGATTCTTTATTTGTAAATTGTTATTTAACAAACATATATTGAATGCTGATGATATACCTGAGCAAAACAGACAACATTCCTTTGGTAGAGCCGGATATTATACAAATACTTTCAAGCAATGGCATGACATGCTCAGATTTAAGTTTGAAAAGATCATTCTGGCTGCAGTGGCTAGACGAGCAATTATGAATGTTCAGAGAAGAATTATAAGCCAATTATAGTATCCCTGATCAATGAATGGTATCCTGCACTTTCAAATAGTGGCACTGGAAAAAGAAAAATATATAAGTGAAATTGGGAGATAGTTAGGAGACAAAGTGAGCAGGATTTAACAATTGCTTCACTGTGGGATGAGGAAGAGAGTAGAGTCAAGGATGGCTCTTCATTTTCCTGTCTCCAGATCTGGGAAGATGGTGTTACCTTTTGCTGAAGGAGAGAACTATGAGAGCACCATGGTAGGAACTACATGGGATCATTTTAGACAGTGCTGGATTTGAGGTTTCTGAAAAGCCTCCCAGTGGGAATATCAAAGAGGTAATGGAATACATGGATGTGGTTCTCAGAGAAGAAATACACTGTACTTTAGATATATACATTTAAATAAACATTGTGTAGAAAAGTGATTGAAGCTATACATTTCAAGAAATTGAACCTTGAACTCAACACTCAAAGTTATATAAATGAGTTTTGGTTAAGAGTGTAAATAGAAACAGGAGTAACTAAAGAGGAGAAAGCAGTAAGCATGTGCTGTCCTAGAATTCAATGACAGAGCATGTTTCAAGAAAGCAGGTGTCAGCAGTGTCAAATGCCACTGAGATCACATAAATAGAGTGCAGAATAATGATCTTTAATGACATGGCAGTTAGGAGGCCCTTGGCAGTGAGTCATTTCAGTGGAGTGGCAGGAATGGAAATCATACTTGGGTTAAGAAGAGAGTGGATATAGGAAAATTCAGCCTCTAAATGGAGGTAACTTGAAGGAGAAGGGAAAGAGAGGGCAGAGTCTAGGAATGAAAGAAGCTATTTGGATGATTTCAGTAAGGAATAAAATAAGATGTGTCATCACCTCGTTGTACAACCATTAGCTACAGAGAATTCTTCATGGGCATGAGATGGAGTTAGCTGTATTCATGACTTAAAACTGTGCTCTGTCAAAACCCACCTCTCTTTTATGTAGTAGTAATCATATGGCAACAGAACAGAAGAAAAATTAAAATAAAAACCTTCTGAAAATATGTTGAGTAGTAATTGATAATTGAATAAAAGCTGCCATCCTGAAGCGTTCTAAAGGAATGGCTTAAAGCATATTACCTGTCTCTAAAGCCAGTTACTGTTCTATCCTGGCATCTTAAGGTAATGATTTACATGGATACTCAAGCCGGTAAGAATGTTAACATTGTATAGCACTCATCAAATGCCATCTACTTTCTACATGTATTAGATGTAATAGTTAATTTAATGATAATAATAAAACCTATGGGATTTCTCCAAATACTTAAGGGAAGAAAAACCCACCAATCTTATACAAATTCTCCTAAAAAATAGCAAAAAAAAGGGAACACTTTCTCAACCATTTTATAAGGCCAGAATAACTCTCTTCCAAAACCCAAAGAAGTCATCCAAGAATGAAAAACTATTTAACAAAACTCCTTATGAAGATACATGAAAAATTATGAAAGATATACAAGCCTCTACATTGAAAATGTTAATGCGTCTTCTACATGGCTGACTAGAGACATCTGGTACTTACCTCTTCCACAAAGAACCAAAATAGCAAATGGATCATCACACTTCTAATATCTAACAGAAAACACTAGAATTCTACAAAGAAGTAGCAGGAAACACCTAAAGCAAGGAAGGAAAGGGAAGCAAGGCAGCCTGCTTGGGCGGGATCAGGGGGGAGCTGGGAAAGACTCCCCAGTGTGGAGAAAGGGTAAGTGAGTGACTCCCAGTAGTCCACGTTCCCATTGTGGACTCTTGCATCCTAGCCATGGGAAATCCCCTCCCTTTGCAGGCCCCAAGACCAAATAAAGGAGCTACCTGAAGACCACGTGACAGCCTTGCTTCTGAGAGGAAACCCATGCTGGGTCCCACCCACACCCAAGTCTTAAGAAGCTACAGTAAGGTGCCATTTTGAGAACCTAGCCTCCACCAGACTACATCCTGCCAGAGGACCCAACAGCTCCTGCATCTCTACATCTCTGGAGCTCCATTGCTATTTCCCACCCATGGCCACTGCCATAGCTGCCTGCTACCTCCAGGACTGAAGCACAAGCCATTTGTAGTGATTCAACAACTCCCAAAAGTGAAGCCTGCTGTGCATTTTCAAGTGCCTTGAGGACAAGCTCCCCCCTGCCCACAGTAGCACCCC